TGCCCGTTCATTTACAGCGCACAGGGGCCTGCTCTGTTTAATCTGAAGGCCCCGAGCAAGTTTAATTAACCTGGCAACACAAGCTAGATGAAATATGATTGGTTAAAAACTCTACCATAATAAATAAGTTATTTTTCGAGTGGCTTTCAATGTTATTTAAAATAACATTGAAAGCCACTCAACTAAGTGGAAATAATATGACGTAAAGAATACAGAGAATAATTTTGTTAACATATTTATGAAAATAAAATAACAAATTTATGTTATTCTCAGAAAAGTAAATTTACTTTTCTGAGAATGTTTAGGCCAGCAGAGAAGGCCTTGCTGGCCCTCAGGGTCCGCCACTGGTTAGATCACAGGGGCTAATATTTCATTGCCAACTCCACAGTAATGTTATTGCTCTTCAATAAAATACTTTAAAACCTGATAAATTTCTACTTACAAATAAAGCTGCTGAAATAGCATGCTTTCTTGCATGGGTATCTTCCGATGACAAAACAAAAAGTTCATGTTTTTTTTTTTTTTTTACTCAGAATTTTTCAGTTTAACATCCATCCATCCATCCATTATCTGAGCTAAGCTGGACCCTATTTCAGCTGACTTTGGGCAGTAAGCAGGGTACACCCTGAACTGGCTTCAAGCCAATCGCAAGGCACGCACACGTACAGACAAACAACCATTCACACTCCCGGTGACACTGAGGGACAATTTAGAGCGCTCCATTAACTTCATTTGCATGTTTTTGGAATGTGGGAGGAAACCGGCGTTTCTGGAGAAAAAACACACAGGCACGAGGAGAACAATGCCAACTTCACACAGTTCTTCGACATTCACAACATGGTCACATGGTTTCCACAATACACTGATCTCCAATAGAAGAGCTGATCAAAACGATGTTCTAAACAAATAAGGAAATTTCTAAGTGACCCAAATCTTTTGAGGACGAGTGTATATTGTTGATGTAGTATATGAGTACATATGGTTCATGTTTTGGATCTCACATAGTGCCGGTTTATCTAGTTATTGCTATTGAGTTTTTTTTTTCATTTAGTTTTTTTAATTTGTCCAATTCCTCCATAAGTCATTTACAAACTGGATGTTTATGCAATCATGATTTGCCATGCAAATAAGACCAAGATTTTGGATTGGTGTCTTCTTCCATTTGAAATCCCAGTCTCGTGTTCTTGTGAAGGTCCAGCGTAGATAAGGGTTAAACTTGAAGAGAGGTCAAGGGGTGAGTCACTGGAAAATCTTACGTCCAACAGATGAATGGGATGTTCATCATCATTTAATGACTCTACTTTTACCACCGTAGTCTTCTTTGTGTGCCGTCATCCGAGCTTTGCCGAGGCACAGGGAAGTAACTGAAGCCGGAGTGAAATTGATCTCAGTCTAAGTACGGTACTGCTTTTACGTGTGCCTTCTGCTTAGCAAACTCCTCAATGGAAAGGCTCGTTTTCCAGGACATCTGTACAGTACTGTAAACTCAGTGGGTTCATTAATGTTTTCCTTTTTTGTTGATTTCCATATGAATGGATTCTTTAAAAAAAAAAAAAAAAACATTTTTTATTGATTGTTTACTCTGCGCCGCTCCTGTTTAGAGTTATGTCACTCTGACACTGGAGACAGGACACGCAATGTTCAGTGATCTAGTAGATATGAATGGTTGAATGGTTTCTGGCATCTGCACAAGTCTCAGAAAACAAGTCACAAATCTTTCTGCGCAAAAAAACAATCAGTGGCTACAAAAGGCTGCACAGAAAACAGTCGGTGAGGCCAATATCAAAACCTCTTTCTTAATCTGATGTCCACATTTTCCAAACAAGCTCTGAATCCTGCATCTATTGACCTGTGTGTTTGCTGATTATTTCTGTTGTTTTTTTTTTTTTTTTTGCCACTTCTGTCCTAGGTGGATTGTCTCTGTGGCTGATCTTGTGGCTGGTGGTGGTGAAGCCCAGCAGTGTGGCTGCATGCCCCAGGCTTTGTGTGTGTTACCCTTCACCCATGACAGTCAGCTGCCAGTCCCAGAACCTCACCATGGTTCCGACCGGCGTACCCTATGACTCACAACGTGTGTTCCTGCAAAACAATCGTATCACAGAGCTCCGTGCGGATTCTTTTGGCTTTGAAACACAGGTAAAAGTGTGTGACCGCCATGTACTTTAATTGAGGTGTTTGGTGGATAACTCAGATTCCCCCTCCCCCGCAACCCCCTCTTCTTTGACACAGGTGCTTTGGCTCTATGGCAATAACATCACATGGATTGAAGGTGGGGCCTTTAGTAACCTCAGGGTGCTAGAGGAGTTGGACCTGGGCGATAACCCTACACTGAGGCGCCTAGAAGGTGGAGCTTTCAGAGGGTTGGAGAAGCTGCAGAGTCTGCATATGCACCGATGCAAGATTGGCATGCTACCCCATGACCTCTTTCACAAATTGTACAGTCTGCAGTTTCTCTACTTACAGGTGAAGTTTGCATAAATACACATTGAACAAGATATACGGTGAAGCTGGCGTACTGAAAACATTCTCCAATTTGGTCCACAGTGGATAAATTCCATATAAGCAAGGATATTTTCTCACAAATATCTGGACCTTATCAAAGGGGTAGCTGAAATTGAATCAGTAATCCATTACTTGGCTGCCACGATACCGCGAACTAAGCCTTGCTGCTACCTTTGCAATAAAGCAGATTTTTGGCTACATTCTTTATGTAATATCCATTGCTTAAAGGGTAGGAACCCTTACACATATTATTCTGTAGATGCTAATTATTCAACACATTAGCAATTAGCATTTCCCATTATAGGCTAGCATTGGTAGTGGTGGCTATATGGTTGTTTTAAATGTATCTGTGATTCTCTTGTTTTATCGTGAGTTAACAGTAACCTCTAGCCGAGAATGACGTTAACATCTTAAAACCTCTTTTTTTAAGAATATTTGCTAATTCTCAAATTTGCACTCACGAGTCAAAGCATAGTCTCTCATCCAACTCGATGATCCAAATCTCAATTACTTGTTTTGTAATATTATGTTTTGACATTGTTGCAGGAGAATCAGCTCCATTTTCTGCAGGATGACCTGTTCTCAGATCTGGTCAACCTCACCCACCTATTCCTCCACGGCAACCGCATTCGTGTCCTCTCTGAGAATGTGTTCCGAGGCTTGGTCAATCTGGACCGCCTCCTTCTTCACGACAATCGAATCAGGCAGGTCAACCGTCGCGCTTTCCGCGACCTGGGCCGGCTCTCCATTCTTTACCTGTTCAACAACTCCCTTGCTGAGCTCCCAGGCCAAGCTATGAAAGACACCCAGGGCATTAACTTCCTCCGTCTCAATGGCAACCCTTGGTCCTGCGGTTGTGAGGCCCGCACCTTGTGGGAGTGGTTCCGCAAAGCCCGCATTTCCTCTTCTGAGCTCATATGCTCATCACCGTCCCAGCGTCGAGGCCAAGATCTCAGATTCCTCCGAGAGCTCGACTTTGCCCTCTGCCCAATGCCTGACCCCGGATCCCTGGCCGGAACCACCACGACCACCTTTAGCACCAAGACACGCTGGTGGTTCTCCAAGAACAAGCCCGTTTCTTCCTCCAAGGTCAATAATCAGAAGACCACAGAGACAGGAAAGACATTCCCTGTAAGGAAGCCACAGTACTTCCCCAAAACCCACTTCGACTCATTTCCTCCCAAGTATGAACTATCAGATGACGAAGTGGCCCTCCCAAAGCTCGACCCAGAAGAATACTGGGACAACTATGGCAACGAAGATGCTGCCATCCGCTGCTTTAAGCCCGAGTGCTCCCCAGGCTATGACAATTCAGCTTTTACATCCTCATTCTCATCCATTGCCACAAGTCCAGCCCTCCCCCACCACCTCTACGTCTGTGTACTTGCTTTCTCCCTTCATTTACTTTTTGGCTGAATCCACCATCCGTTCAGCCTTTCTCTCATTCCTCCGTCCTGCTCTTTTCAAACCAAAACAAAAGCCTGGGATCTTGATCCCTTTCAGTCACCTCCTTGACCCACAAGTAGGGGGCGTTACACAATGACAGGAAACGGACGAGGGAGTAAAAATCTGTCTTCAGAAGCAGTTGAGGCAATACGAGGCTAATCATTATTGTTAATTTGGCTGCTGCTTACCAGCATATGTGGCCATGACAATAATAGGGATCACATCGTGGAGACTGTGATAGGTGTCGAACAGCACCCATCGATAGACAATACAACACACTGTAGGGTGTAGGGGCATGTAATTTGTTTTGCTTATGTTGCAGCAAAATATGCAGCAATTCCACCTTCTTGTCTAGAGGTATTTTCTACACGAACTACTAACAGCATCTGTACTGCTGCTTTCATTTACATCACCAATGAAGACAAAATCCTTTAAGCACCTGGCTTTGCAAGACGTGAAAATCAAAGAAAAATCATTCTTAGAATGTACACACCAATAATTTGGTTTGAATGTTGTTTTTCTTCTCATGAGCAGCAGTGGTGACTCAGGTCTGACACTCATTTGGTGTACATTTTGGTAACTGGGCATTCACTTGGGACATCGCCGACATAAGCCACTTCTTAATTCCATCACTATCACATTGCAATTATAGAAACCATCAATACGACACAAAGACCTAATATAACTGCACACAACTGTGCCACGTACATCATTTTGATCAGTTTGGAACCAATATTTATCAAATAACATCATAAAAACATGGAAAATGTAAACAAAATACATTATACTCACCAGAGAAAGTGATTATTACGTATGAATGTCTGCAAATCACAATAGATGTGTTTTACTTGTTGAACTTGGCTTGCTCTGACCAACCAATCAGATGGCATTAAAATGCTGACTCCAACAAGGGCCTTGGAGGACAAATTGAAATCCGAACAGTCTCATTGCAAATAGTTTAAGTTGCATAGGCCAGCACCATTGATTCCGAAGGCCCTGGGCAAAATAGATGCCAACATGAAATCTGATTGGACAAAATAAAAACTCCCAATACCCACATAAATATTCTGGAAGGAATGCAGCCAAGAGAAATGCTCCAAAATTTAGAGAGTAGATTGCTGTGAATAAATTCAAATAAATATTACCGCCGTTCATATGGCGTAGCTGGAAAGCTGCAGAAAGGTATCTTAGCACAGATCACAGATGAGAAGGAGAGACAGAGAATTTCATTGCAAAATAAATTGAAAAGGAGAAGTGTGGAGTCGCTGAGAAAAAGCGAGTGGCCAAGTGCAGGATTTGCAGCCAAGAGTGACTCTCTTCCCTGAGATTCCTAGTCTTGTGTCAACCCAGCGATGCCAGCAGCATAGCCGCCCACACTTGTCCACGCAGCTTGAAACACCTCGAGGAACTTCAAACATGTATCACACGACATACGCCATGTATCATATGCTTCTGTGCACTTCCTCAGCACTACTTTTCCCTTTTCACTCAGTAGCATTTAGTAATGGGAACAAAAACTAAATTGGCTGGTTAAGTCAAAATAAAATCATAAATGTTTTTTTTTGGTTTGTTGGTTTTTGCAATTAGATGATTAGCAATTGGCTTTGATCATGGAAAGAATAAGTAGATTTTTATGTTGAGCATCTGTTGTGTGTCTGAAAATCTTTAGTAGGGAAAATAATTCCCAGATATTCTACAGATTTGCTGCAGTAGCCTATTTACAATGCAATACAATGCATCCTCATTTATATATTTATTTATTCGTGTATGTATGTATGTATTTATTTATTTATTTAGACATGCCAACAGCGACAGCTTTATTGAATTAGACAACATGCTTTCAGATGGCGTGAAACAAACTTTTGTAAGCTGCAGTACTCACTGAAGCCGTACTCACTGTATAATGTATTGTCAGGTTTTTACCAAACTCCTTTTGCATTTGATCTGATAACTAAACAAACGTTGTGGTTTTTCAAATGAATGCTGGTAGAAACTGTTTTTTTTTTCATTTTCTTTTTTGAATAAAGAAATGATCAGACATAAGCGAGTGGCAGTTCCTTGGTTTCACTGCATTAAGTGGCTGAGTCTGGTTCAAAGAGAATTATACGTCTGGAACAAACATTAGGATCAAGTCATGTCCACTTCACTAAAAACAATATAGCATCAACATTTACAACAAAAAAGGACCTTGAAATAAATCTCGATGTTGATGTCACTTAAGAAGTCGTGAGAAACAAGTTTTGACATGACAACATTACATATTTGAAGTGAGTCACTCTCCTTCATTATGCTGGTTGTTGAGTCCATGAATTGTGAGCCATTCACGTGAGAGTGTGTCTGTATCTTGTAAAGTTGATTAATAGCAATACTATTCAATCTTCACACGTACAGATTGGAGCTATAACATGTACATGAGATGTCTGGAATGTGTTGGGGAGGGTCTGTTGGCAGAAGAAAGGCGTGATTCAAGCATTTGGTCAAATAGGGTACTGTACATGACATATTCTTGTAGATGTGGCGATAACTTGTCCTGGAATTCACACACCCACGCAACAGAATCATAACTGTGATATTGCTGATTCAAATGTGACAGTGATATATACAAACACACACACACACACACACACACACACACACACACACACACACACACACACACACACACATAAATCAAAAATACTGTACATGAACAACCAACCTCTCACCGTAATAAAACATTTAATGTAACTTCTGAAGTTACGTGCCACCAAAGTGGTACACAAAAATACTGTACTGTAATTCAAACAAAAAAAAGGAATGGAAACGTGATGAGACTCATCACACCGAAAATTGCACTTACTGTAACATGGAGGTATGATAAGGTCTGGCTGCTTAGTACAATACAGTGCAGGCAAAACATACAATTGAATTATAAGTTTTACATCCATGTATTGTGCCGTACTCACAAAAACAAATATTTGGCTTTCAAGTAAAATTTCAGGATGAACCTGAAATGTATTATAACCTTTGCAGGTGAACTAGAGCCATTCAAGTGAGAGAGTGTCTGTATCTTGTAAAGTTGATTAATAGCAATACTATTCAATCTTCACACGTACAGATTGGAGCTATAACATGTACATGAGATGTCTGGAATGTGTTGGGGAGGGTCTGTTGGCAGAAGAAAGGCGTGATTCAAGCATTTGGTCAAATAGGGTACTGTACATGACATATTCTTGTAGATGTGGCGATAACTTGTCCTGGAATTCACACACCCACGCAACAGAATCATAACTGTGATATTGCTGATTCAAATGTGACAGTGATATATACAAACACACACACACACACACACACACACACACACACACACACACACATAAATCAAAAATACTGTACATGAACAACCAACCTCTCACCGTAATAAAACATTTAATGTAACTTCTGAAGTTACGTGCCACCAAAGTGGTACACAAAAATACTGTACTGTAATTCAAACAAAAAAAAGGAATGGAAACGTGATGAGACTCATCACACCGAAAATTGCACTTACTGTAACATGGAGGTATGATCAGGTCTGGCTGCTTAGTACAATACAGTGCAGGCAAAACATACAATTGAATTATAAGTTTTACATCCATGTATTGTGCCGTACTCACAAAAACAAATATTTGGCTTTCAAGTAAAATTTCAGGATGAACCTGAAATGTATTATAACCTTTGCAGGTGAACTAAGTTTGACCTTCTCTAAACTTTTGGATGCAAATCTCCAACTGTTTTTGCCCAACTTGCTTTTCTCCCGCAAGGAGCTGAACAGCAAGAGTCACAACATCTTTTTGATCCATGAACTGACCAATACACTTCCAAGGACGTCCACTTCTACAGCTTTCTGTGACTCTTCCATTTTCTCTACTGCACCCAGCAGATGACATTCTGTGACACGCTAAGCTCAATGGTGTAAATATCAATGGTGCAACTGATGCAATGCACTGTGGCCCAAATGGTGTTAGGGGGCCATGAAGGAAGGGAAACAAAAAACAACCAAATGGTGTTAGGGGGCCATGAAGGAAGGGAAACAAAAAACAGCTGTCTAAAATTCCCACAGACAACTAATTTTGTAAATAGAATAATTCGGGTGGGTGAGTCACGCTAAGCGGCTCATCAGGAAGATGGAAATGATCATTTGTCCAATCACTTGTTAGTCATAACGTGTACCGACATAATGTGAAGCATGCAAAAAAATAAGTTATCTGTGGGTTAATTCTAAAACGACTATGGTAGACTTCACACATCGATAACTCTACGATCTTATTCTGCCTTCATACGTTATATTATAGCAACTTGCTCGTGTAATGCAAGCCTACCAGACCATTTTCCAGAATTAGTGGGATTTAAATTCAGAGCAAAGTACTTGTGACCTATTGTTGTTGTTATTTTTGTAATGCCTTTTGTACCTGTATATAATCAAAGAGATTTAAAAAACTGAATATGATTCATTGGAAAACATTTTGTGATACTGTATTTTTAATCTTCAAAATACAAATCACAAGATTTAAATAGCAAAAAAAAAAAACTGCACAAATACATGGTGACGATGGTAGTTCTCTCGAATGGCTGTGCAGCTGTGTGTTGAAGCGCCTATGTGGGTAGCATGCGCTTGTGTTTAGGGCAAGGGTCTGGGCACAAAAAATGTTTTTGCACTGTGGCCTGTCACCATGATGTTACTCCACTGGCTAAGCCCATTGGCCAATTCCCACTGAGAATATCATATTTGAGCCTATGCAGTGGTGAGATACTCCTGACTGAGTGAGGATTCTCCTGATGGCAGATATCCTTGGTCATTGACCAATGCTTTTGCGCAATTTCATCACATGGCTTACTTCAAAGACCTCGTCAATTCCGACATGCCTTCTTTTGTAGAACCAGAGTCTGTGGACTCTGACGTATGCTCTCCTTTCTCTGGGGTTAAAATCACCGCGGGGCTTAAAGAGATCCTTGCGGCAAAGCTCTAGGAGTGGATAATATGGTCATGAGCTGTGAGTCGTGAACAAAAGAATGAGATCCCATATACAAGCGGATGAGATGAGTTTACTCTGTAGGGTGTCCGCGCTCTCCCTTAGAGATAACGTGAGAGGCTCAGAGTCAAGCTCCTTTTGAGAAGAGCCAAATGAGGTGGCTCGGGCATCTTAACAGTATGCTTCCTGGGCTCCTCCCTGTTGCGGAGTTCTGGGGCGTGTACCACAGGAATGACCCCTCGAGGTTGACCCATTAGTGATTATCCTTCATATATTTCTACAGTATGTTTCCATTTCAGAAAATTGTAGGCGTCTGCATTGAATGCCCGCAAACCTCCTGTGCACTACAAATGCGACATACTGCATATTTTTTTCTCGCACTGATGACGTACATACACAGCACCTACTCCTTGTCTTCCAGAATGTCTGTGCTATTTTTCCCCTGTCCTTGTGTGTGTGCTTTTTATGCTGTCACTCATTCTTTGTCTGGACACCATGTCTCTCTCTGTCGCTGTCACGCACATGCAGATGCTTCAAACATGTGCGTCGGCCCTTATGAGTTGCTGTCTCATTGACGTGTTTTGGTGACGTTCACTCTTGCACATGTCATATTTGGCTAAGACAACTGACACATTGGCACCCTGGTTTCTATGGCTCCAAAAGAATAGAATAGAATAGAATAGAATAGAATAGAATAGAATAGAATGGAGCAGCCAGAGACCCATAACATGCATAACCGTTAAACTACCCTGCAATGACCAGTTCTTTTTGTCTTGCACATATAAACCTGAGTCTTTGGGTCTATCATTCCTGTAGACTGTCAATCCTCCAACAGTGTGAGAACCAAAATATTAATGCCATCCAATGAGACCCAATACAAGAGTTACTGTGGATCAAAAACATTCAGTCATATTCCTTTTTAGAGTGACAAAACAATGTGATCAAAGTTTGTACTGTGTAGGTAGACAGATAGATAGGTAGATAGAATAAAACCACAATTCGGTACTTTAAAATCCTAAAACTGTGTTATAAATTGTAACCCTACTTTCAAACCCTAACTCTAGTTTAAAATCTTATTTTGAAACACTAATCCTCTGTAACAACTAGGGAAGTTCGATACCACTTTTTCCCAGGCCAATACCAGTACAAGTACTTAACTCTTATATACCAAGTAACTGATACCACCAGTACTTTTGAGAGATAGCATTTGTATTAAACTAATGACAAGAGCGTAACCCTAGTTCAAAAGCCGATTTTGAAAGCCTAACACAGTGGTCCTCAACTAGAAATGCTGTAGGTCCACTTTTTTTTTTTTTTTTTTTTTTTTTTTAATACAAGATAAATGTCCGCTCCAACTACGCGCGTTATTCCGGAAAGCTGCTTACCTGAGTAAGGATGTAGTTCCTCTGCGCCTCTTCGACCGTTATTAGGCTGGCGTTAATGTAGTTGTTGGCACTCTGCTGCAGACAGATTCGGCTGTGGTCAACTGGTTGGGGGAAAGATAAGACCGATAAACTCTTTCATCGCGCTTCCAACTCATATCGTGCTGGATGGAGTGCTCTTTATCTCCGACGTGGCTTTGAGTTCAAGTGGAAACTAAGCACACCGCAAATGAATTGAAAAGAATACATATGTGAAAAAGCGTCATTCCGTTTTGTTGAGGTGCATCACATGAATTCAAGTTGGATACCGGGTCCGTGCGTGGATCAAACACCTTTTGAGTATTTTGCCCCGATGAGAACGCGGCAAGCCGTGCAAAAAAAAAAAAGTGCTGGGCAGATCCAATATTTGCAAATGTGCTTGAAATTTCTTCTGGAAAAGATGAAAATGAAGGTCCAAGTTTATTTTCGGTTCGATCGGGAATTTTAAGCGAGAAGCCCGATCTCTTCGTGAGGTGCGACTGTGCGAAGCTGTGAGCACAACTGTGGCGTCGCGCATGCGTCTGTTTCCTGACACAATCATCCATTTTGAATGCGTGTGTGTTGGGATAGACGCGTGCTGATGCTTATGTATGGGCACACCTTAAATTCAGAGGAGCCAATCAGCGCATCGTGATCGCCGACATGCCCTGCTCAGCCAGGGTCTCCAGTTAGTCAAACATTATACAACACACAGTCGCGCTGCTGCGGTCCTCTGCAATACATCTGTTAGTGCACGCAAAGAATAAAACGGATAATTTTAACAAGCGATCGCGGTAATGTGCAGATTATAGTCCACAAATATAAAATGTATAACGTAAAAATCACTTTATAATTTATTATTTTATACAATTTGCCGAGGGTCCGGACAGAGGAGGTCCGGACAGAGGAGGTCGGCGGTCCGGTCGTGGATCGCGGTCCGCCAGTTGAGGAAGGCTGGCCTAACACTTGTTTAAAACCCTACTGTGAAATCCTCACCATAGTTTGAAACCCTAACCCTAGTTTAAATCCTATTTGAAAAACCTAAATATGGATTAAAACCCTACTTAGAAACCCTAGCCCCAATAAAACCCTACTTGGAAACTCTTAACTCTAATGCAAAACCCTACTTTGAAATCCTAACCATCATTTAAAATCCTCCGACAAGGGAAAAGAGGAGCATGGTGAGATTAGGGCATGTGACTCCTGTGATCTATGATCACGTGCACAACTGTTATCATGCAAAACAATTTGAGTCTGAAACAAGAGTAAAACTGTAAACGTGGAATTGTCAAGAAAACAAAAAAAGACAAATATTATGAGCACGCATGAGTCACACGCTGCCTCGTCTTGGGAGATTTGACAGCCTTTGTTTGTTGACACAGTCACACCCTCTGATGTCGTCAAGCATTTACATTTACACGGTTTCTATAAATGTGAACGCCACATCCTGGGTAACAAGCACGCATCCGCTATTATTTTGGTAACCACATATGGTATTGGCTTTTGGATTTGAAGTACAGTAATTGAGCACATCCATCTGGTCCTTGGCAGATTTTTTCGTGCATTTGTCCATCTTTTGGATCTCATCGTCAACTGTTCAACACTAGAGGATATTCAGGGATTACTGAAAGTAACAAAAGTACACAAGCCCTGTATTCATCTGTGCTACTATCGTTGTTATGCAGTGATTTTCAATTACAAGTACCAGAAGTGTGACTTAAGCAGGATGAAGCAGCTTAGATCAGAGATGATATCAACATTTAAACGAGTGCCAAGATATTACATGAAAGGATTCGCAAATAGAATGAGGTGGTGGAGTCCAATATGCATTGTCCATTGACAGACAATTAGTCCAATTCAAACAATAGTTTAATCCCTTTTTCTAATTGTGGCCTGAGGTAATACATTTGTGTCACTTTTCCACTTGTACAAATATTTATGGAAGAGTGCATTGTTGTTGGAGGAAAACACAATTTAAAACTATCATACAACTCAAGACATACAGTATATTCTAAATGAGTTCATGACAAAGTTGCGAAATCGTTCTCAAACTGGGATCCCCAGACATCCAAGGGTTCACGAGTTGGAGCTTGGGCGTCTGAAAAATGAGTAGTTGTATCATTTACAGAAAGCTAATTTCCCACTAATGGGGACCAGAATTATAATAAAACAAACATACTCAACCAATCGCTTGGCTTTGGTCCAGTTATAAAAGCAGACTTCCGGAGTGATAGTCCTTCCAATATTGGATATTCACACACACAAACCCTGTGGAAACACAGACAGACAGATCATATTACAATTCTCAAAGGCACAAATTTCTCCCACTGAGTGAAAAACGAGTTAGTTATGTTGATATGGCTCAATAGCAACTTTGTTCTTATCTCATTCTTAGTGTGTACTCCATCCAGGCAAGGCGCCACACTGCCCAAAGAGCAGAAATAGCCGGCATTTGTTGGAATTATTTTTTGATTGCCATTCTTTTACGATATTCTTATTAACTTTCTTTCTGTCACGTTGCAATGTGGTGGTGGACCCCAAAAAGCAGGCAAGAGGGAGGAGCAAGGTGTACTTGACAAATTGTATTAAAACATAGAGAAAAATAAATCCTAAACAAACAAGTCCTGAAAACAAAAACAATCCAAAGTAGCAAACAAAACCATGACTGAAGCAAAAACTAACCATGACCGAAACATGACTGAGAACAAACATGACAGTAGCAAACACACAAACAGCAACAATGACCCAACATCGAGTGGTCGTGACGGGAGTCCTTTTAAAGCAATAATTGCATAACGACCAAAAGGTGTGCAGCTGCAGGGAGAGCCCTACAGTGTCGCCTGTTGGTCACAAACAGAATCATGACACTTACTAATTTATTTTCTCATTGTCCTTTCAAGTTATATTTTAAGTTGAGTTTTCAAGGAATTTTACTTTACTCAAAATTCAAGGATGCAACCATATAATATGATACCTCCGTAACATCAACCGTCTCCGTCCCTCTCTCACCCCTCACACGACTGCTATTCTTGTTCACAGCCTCGTCACCTCCCGCATCGATTATTGCAATTCACTTCTCTTCGGCGTCCATCTCAAATTTCTCCATAAACTTCAACTTGTTCAGAATTCAGCAGCCCGGATCATTACGAGAACCCCCTCCTTCCATCACATCACCCCC